GATTATTTTTAGCTCTTCTTAACTCCTCGGGAGCAAAACACCTTCCCGAGAGAGTCAAACCCTATACTTCACAGATTTCTTCTTTGACTTTCTCCCCTTTGTACATCACTGTTATCCGTTCGTAATTCCATGGAATAGCCTTGTTGTTGATTATTGGTAACTGGGTTACCGGCTTGATGATAACCCGATCTGCGCGGGCTCCTTCCACGATTATGATGGGTTTGCTGGCCGCTCCCGGTACAATCACCTTTACCCTTTCCTGTTTCGTTGCAACTTTGCTTAAAGGCCCCTTCTCAACTTCCACAGATGGCTCAACACTCTTTTTGCTCTGCTTGAGCACCAACTTCTCATCTGCTGATTGTTCATCTGTCTTGACTCCACTAGACCGAATCATCATGACGGTCTGTGATGGCATCTTGGGTTCCCCCTCCGCATGCATTATTTCGATCATATTTGCCTCCTGACGGGCTGGCATCGGATTCCTGTTGATATTGGGTTCTTCGGGAGCTTGAACTTCAATTCTATTGGTATCAATAAGCTCTTGTATCGCACTTTTCAAGTGCCAACATTTTTCTGTATCATGACCCGGAGTACCAGAACAATACTCACAGCTGACAGTATAGTCAAGATTCTTTGGAGGAGGATTTGGCAGTTTGGACTGTATCGGCCTTAGCATATCTAGCTATTTTAGCATGTGGAACAGACTAGTGTATGATTCTTCCAACGGAGTAAAGGTTTTCTTTTTCTGCAACCTTTCACCCCTGAGTGCTTGACTAGGCCTGAAACTTGGTCCGAGAGTGTTTTGGTAGGCTCGTGAATGTGGATAAGTATTTGGTAGGACAGGAGCACGCTATTGAGTGTGGGCAGGAGGTTGGTTGTATGCTTGTGCATGGTGGACGGAAAAATGAGGTTCTGGTGGGGGATAGTAGTATTGGGGTGGATTGTGGTGATAAGTTTGTTGGTGGGGTCGAGGTTGATTGTAGTGGTAAGGTGAACCTCTGGATCCAGACCAAGTTCCTGAATCAACTATTGCTGCTTCCTCTCTTTTCCTCTTCCCAATCCCTCTTATGCCGCCCTGAATAGCCTGAGTAACTGCTTTGATAGCCGAATAGCTCATGATTTTATTCGACTTGAGGCCTTCTTCTACCATGCCCCCCATCTTTACTACTTCGTTGAATGACTTTCCCACAGCTGAGACCAAATGGCCATAGTATGTAGGTTCCAAAGCCTGTAGGAAGTAATCTACCATCTCACTTTCCTTCATTGGAGGATCTACTCTTGTTGCTTGCTCCCTCTATCGGAAACCATATTCTCTGAAGCTTTCACTGTGCTTCTTCTCAAGTTTAGTCAAGGACAGTCGATCTGGAATGATCTCAAGATTGTATTGGAAGTGACAAGCAAATGCTTGCGCCAGATCATCCCAAGTGTACCATCGCCCATGCTCTTGGCGGGTATACCATTCCAATGCTGGTCCACCCAAACTCTGACTGAAGTAAGCCATTAACAATTCATATTTTTCTCCAACTCCCCTCATTTTGCTGCAAAAACCTCTTAAGTGGGCTACTGGATTGTCGTGCCCATTGTATAGATCGAACTTGGGCATCTTGAAACCTGCCGGCAATTGCACATTTGGGAACAGACATAGGTCCTTGTAGGCCATGCTGACTTGCCCCCCAACCCCCGCATGTCTCTGAATGATTGTTCTAAGCTTTTAACTTTCCTGAACATCTCCTTCTGTTCGGTATTTTTGACTGGTTTATCAGCTTCTATCGGANATTAATTCCAAAAATGTAAAAAATCAAATCTTAAATGCAAATGCTATATTTTTGTATTTTTAATACACTAATAAAATTAAACATGCATACAAACATATGCAAACAATCAGGAAAATCGCACAATAATTCCTAAAAATAACACATAATTAAAGAAAAGACCTAATTTTAGGAATTCTTTTTGAGTAATTCGTATGAGGCAAAAATCACGTGCTCACACCAATTTCTGACTTTATCAAACTTTTACATCATGTACCATCAAACAACAACAAATCGTATGAAATTCCATAAGTGGTGTCTGGGATTACATTGTGTGCCATCTAATAACAAAATAGTAGGTGAAAACTTGTGGAAATGACACCAGGTAGTTTTAAGGAATTTTTACCCCATGTAGCAAAGGTTATTATCTTATTTATTTTAAATAAATACCCTTTTAAAAAATTATATTCCATAGTTACTTGTTGATTTTTATAGTCAAATATCTATTTATGGTCACATCCTACCCTTAAGCCATAAAATACGTTTTGTATTATTTTTCTCTCTCATTCTTTTAGATTTTTCTTCATTCCCCCTCTCTCAACGCCAGTCTTTGTCCATGAATACAACCATGATTGACTCGACGGCAGCCAGAGCAGAAGATGAGTCATGGAAGCCGAAGAGTTTACAAACACTACAAGAAAAAGCCTTATTTACGACCAACATTTAGGGACGAGTTAATAATCTTGTCTCTAAAAGTATATGTATTGGGACGAAATTATATTGTGGTCCTTAATGTTGTATTTTATTGCGAAGGTACTAAATCTGGTCCCTAAAGAAATTAATAAATGGTCCTCAATTATAATTGAGGGACCGGGAGAGAATACAGTCAAATATAATATTAAAATATTAAAAAATTATTATTTTCTAAAAATAGGCGCCAAAACTAATATACTAAAATAAAAAATTCTTAAAGTTAAAGAAACTCTACGTTTTCCCAATACACGACTACTCTGCCCTAGTTTCTAATAAACGACAACGCAGGTCTGCCTCCCTATCTCCATCTCTCAAAATCTGTATTTTGTCAAAGCAAAGGTTGCAAATTTGTTTGTTCGTGAATCGCATGTCTACCCTAATTTTCGACCTCGCTCATTCGTGAATCTCAGGTATGCCTCCTCTTTTGAGTTGCTCTTTTTCTTCTCTATGTTCTTCTTCTCCTTCTTCTCTAACATTAAATTGGTAAAATGTTTCATAATTTCGTTTTTTTTTTGTATAATCAATAGAAAGATTATTGGGTTGGGATTTCTAATTTGATAATTTGATTTCTCTGAAGTATATTCGTGTTTGTAGCGTATTGTGTGTCTGAAATATTAATCTTCAAACAGGGGAAATGTATGTATATTCATATTTGTTCATATTTGTAGTTTAGGGGAACGTATATAGCAAGGAGTTGCAAGAAAAATGCAAAAAAAGATTAGCCTAATTTACTGGAAAGTAGCAGTAGTTTAATGTAGAGAAATAAGAGACCATGAGCCCTTGGAAAAAGCTTCTTATATATTATAGTTACTTCTTTAGTTTCTCTTCTTTTCTTTTGTTATGGATATGGTTAGGAATTTAAGAAGAAAACTTGACAGGAGTCAACCCAATTGGTTGATATTCACACCCAATCCATCGTGACCTTACTATATTCACTTTGAGATAGAAATTCTGACCTTCATGTCTAATGTAGTCCACCTCACCCTTGTGCTCAATTGGCGAGTCTTTGTCTTGCGACTTTTTCTTCTTCTAGTTGCTCTTCGAGCATTCGAGCGCGGGGCTAGGATTTTAACCTTATGAATTCTTGATGTTAAAACACGACTTCATGTGTCAGTGATTGGGTAGCAAATTTAATTTGGGTGTCAAATTTGATATTTCTAACTGTACCAGATCTTTCATAAATTTACACACATTCACGATAAAAGGTCTATAGATTAATATCTGGTGTCCAAAAGAAATGCTTAAAAAGTTCTATTTACCTTTGTTCAAAGGTAATTGCAAGTTGGTATCCAGAAGAAATTCTTGAAAAGTTCTGTTTTTCAAGTTCTATTTTCCTCTGTTCAAAGGTAATTGTAAAGTGGTACCTCAATTGTATTAACATTTGAGCATTTCATCCAAATTCCATATCTGCCAATATTTTTGTCACAAGTTGCAAAGAAAACTAATCACAAGATGGAAAGCATACTGCCTTTTCTCTTTATGTACATAGTATATATGCAAGTAGTATTCATGTAAGCTAGATTGAAAAGTGTACCTTGTTGCAAATATATATCACATATCTTTGTTTGATATCATTACTTTCTTTTCCGGTAATCCTTCTAAACAATTGAAACAAGTATAAAATTATCTTCTCAGTATTTTTTGAATTTTGAAAATGGCAAGCATTACATTACAATGCATTAACTAAGAAGAGAAAGAAGCCTAATCCTCTAGTGCGACCTTAGAATTCAACACAGTTGTGTGCATCTGATCGTAATAACTTGTGTTCATCTTAGTTTTTTTCCTATCTTCTATCTTTTTTTAATCTAATTTTTATCTACTCTCCAAGATTATGGCACCTAGTAAGCAATGGATGCAACTTGTTGATAATCGGCTTGATGAAGCCTACTTAATCGGAGTGCAAAAGTTTTTGAATTATGCTTTTCAGAAGGAGAAGAATATGAAATAAGATGTCCATATGTCAAATGTTGCAATACAACTTTAGGTAAAAAAAGTTCGAGGTAGGAACAAGTGCAAAGAAGTTGCATCACTTGAAGTAGGACAAAAGCTGAAAGTAACCTTTTACAACAATCGAACGGTTGGAACAAATAGCAAACTATTTTCAAGGAACTTGAGCAGAATAGTTCGTGACCGCAATATCTGTCCGTTGGGAGTATCATCGTGGAATGATATTAAGCAAGAAAAGTTGAATCACATGTGGGCAGCTATTGAGGTAACAAATGTAGGTAACAGTATGCATGTGCATTTTGAGTCGCACGTATAATGGTGTTATTTGCGATGTTGCGAGGAAGACCGTAGGTGTAGTTATAGATTTTTTTATTGTGATTTCAGTTTCTATGAATGGAGTACTTTTCTTTTCTTTTCTGAAATGCATCCAGAGTTGAAATAAAGTTAGAAAATAAACAATTATGCATGGAAGGGCATAGCAAGTTGTCTTTATGAACTTACAATTGTTTTTCACTTTAACTAGTTAAATTTTCCACCACAGCTGCACGAGTTAGCTAAGCATCTTAAGACAAATTATCATATATTTGCAAGTTACCATCACATTCATATCACTGTAATTCTAATGGTGTTGAATGTTGATGATCTTTGCCTTATTTGTGACTATAATTTCTTTTTATTCCTTTATCTGGACCAATGCCTTTATCTTTAGTGAATTCATTTGTTGTGTTGTCTGATCCAAAATGGTCGATCTTCTTTTTCTTTTTCTTGTCAAAACTATAGGTTTGGTTAAAATAATTGAGTATTAAAAGTATATCTTTGTTTTCAGTTTTCAAGCTCTTTTAAGGCCTTGGTCTTTGGCATTCTTTGTATTAACAGATTTAGCTTACTTTTAGAGCAAATTCAGCCATTAAAGGGACCACAACATGAGAAATATATTCCTACTTTGATATGCTTATCAAATGGTAAGTTCTTAAGGAAGAAACTGGGATGCAGGGGGCAAAAAAGTAAACAATTTTGATCTCCTTTTTGGTTTAAACTACCTAGGTATCTGCTTCCATCTATAAATACCAAAATAAAGGAATGAAGTCCAACTTTGAACATGGATAGAGTTACTGGCAGACGTTATTTGTATCTCTTATCCAGCCAATGTTGTTTATTTTTCTACACAATACATGAAACTTCATTCAAAACTTAAACTGCTGCATATTTCTGTTTTTTAAAAACTCTTTACAAAAGTTATTGCAGGGCTCAACATTGTCATTATAGTTGCTTGCATATTAGTTGAACAATGCATTATTTTTCCACACCAGAAAAGTTCTATGATATCGTGATCATATTTGAACAACAACAACAACAACAACCCAGTATAATCCCACTGATGATATTGCTGGATAACACCTGATGAATTTAGACTGCTTGTGGGGTAAGCGATTTAACCATTGCTAGTGTAAATTACATATATTGTTTTACCAATAGTTATTCATCGTCTTTTCAAAATTTTATACTTACAGGGAATGTTATGTAAAACTTGATATCATAGTCTAGCTCAGGATATTAACTATGTTTTTTTGTTAAGGTGTTGAGAAAATATTGAAACTAACATCATGGGAGGTTAACGTTGTAATTAATAACTTTATTATATATTATATATATTACTTTTTTTATATTTAAAATTTTCAATAGCAATTTGATATTTACTGATAAAATAACTTTTTTAAGATATCGATTTTTAGGACTACTTGTGGGTAATAAGATATCAGATATACAGTCGTTATAGTTACTACAATTATTTTAAATAGGGATTTGTGTTGCTCGTCTCTAAAAGATAAATTACGGCCAGTTAAATGTTGGTCGCTAAAACTAATAAAGGACCGGAAATATATTTTTTCCATAATATATTTGTTGTCTATTAGGGAAGAGAAGAGTGGTCGCTAAAATTGTTTAACGACAGGAAAATATGTATTTTTAATAATATATTAATCGACTATTGGGACGAGATATGTAGTCTCTAAAGGTATTTAACGACTAGATTTTTTGTCCGTCTCTAAAAACATTTAGTGACCAGGTTTCTGAACTCGTCATTGTTGACCTTTAGCGGCGGACGCTATTGTGATGGGTTGCGACCAACTTTTTCTCGTCGCAATTGGTGTATTAGGACCAAATTTGGATCTTTAGGGACGAGATTTTCCTTCCTTAAAGGTCGTTTTTCTTGTAGTGAAATTAGGGTTGGGAAAGTGATGGAGAAGAACCATCGGGACTAATCAGGTGTATGCTTGTGTAAGAAAAACTCAACGGCGTCGCACGCGGCGAGGATCTGAAGTAGAGACGAGGCAGTGAGTACGGTGGCGGCAACATGCAAAATGCAATGTGCGTGAGTGAGGGTTTAGGGGGGTTTTAATGGGGAATTCTGACATAGGGTAAATTGGGGCTGACAATGAAGGTTCGAAATCTGCTATCAACGAGACGACATTTAGGATTATTCTTGAACAAAGACGACGGAATTTGGGGCTGAGCAACTTGAAGAGTTTGTTACCTTTTTTTCATTGTATTTCAATGTATCTCGCTGTATTCTATGTATTTCATTGTATTCATTGCTTTTTTTTTTTCATTTTATTCATTGTCTTTTTTTTTCATTGTATTTCAATGTATCTCGCTGTATTCTATGTATTTCATTGTATTCATTGCTTTTTTTTTTTCATTTTATTCATTGTCTTTTTTTTTCATTGTATTTTCAATGTATTTCATGTATTTCATTGCATTCACTGTCTCGCTATATTCCTTGAATGTATTCATATGTTTTTTTTAATTAGTATAATTTATGTATTCAAATGTATTAATATATTCAGATTTATAATTGAGTTTGTTGAGTTAATTTAGGAGCATACACTATTGAAAAATTGGTCTACGGTAACGGTTTTACAACTGTTCCCATAGATTGTCAAACCGTTGCCATAGGTATATTGGAACGGTTTAAAACCGTTACTATATTGTTTACACAACGGTTTTTAACCGTTATCATATTATTTAAAGCAACACTTATGTAAGTTATTGTTACGGTTATGTATGGATATAGCAACAGTTTCTGTAAGTTATCGCAACGGTTATATTTGTATTTGGAACGGTTTATAGATCAATTTGGAATATTTTATAGGATCTATTGCAACGGTTTACATTGTCTATTGGAACGTCATTTTTGTCTTATTGCAACGGTTCTGGTAGACTATTGTATCAGTTCAATTAAAACCAAAATATAGCACCTGTTATAAATAAATATTTATATATATAACAAAATAATAATAACACTATTTTTAAATACATCATAAAATGAAACTATTAATAATATAAAATTATCCTTCAAGCAAATAATATCCATAAATCAAATGTTGTACCTCAAGTGCATAAGTTTAGTACATTTCAAGAAAGTAAGTAAGTTTCAAAAATGTTGATAACAAAAGATTCCTAGAACATTCATCTATAACAATTCAAAATTCTATCTCAAGTAAGGTCTAGTTCTTCTTCATCATCCATTTCTTGATCTACTCCACTTACAAAAGAGGATAAATAAAGTTATTAACAGTTTTAAACTTCTGAATGAAACAACATGATCTGATTGTACTTCCATTACTTTTTCAAACGAATAAAAGTAATGGAATAGCTTCAGCTAACTTTTATGAATAAAACAACATGATCTGATTGTACATTTCTTCCATTTGAAGCAAGAAATCAAGATCATTACACTTACACCCAACTAAGTTGTAAAAGCAGCTAACTTTTATGAACTATATATTAAAAAAATATAAAAAAAATAACTTCAGAAATCAAGTCTTCCAATCTGATACAGAGTATATTGACTAAGTAATAAACATCTAGAAAGGGCACATATGAAGCAAGAAATCAAGATCATTACACTTACACCCAACTAAGTTGTAAAAGCAGCTAACTTTTATGAATAAAACAACATGATCTGATTGTACATTTCTTCCATTTGAAGCAAGAAATCAAGATCTTTGAACTTACCCAGGTAAATATGTAAAGACATCAAGTCATTGGAGTATATATATTAGACAACAGAAGAAGCAACTTAAAATTCAATTTCTTCCAATATTATTCCACGATTACATTTGACAAAGTCAGAAACCTCTAAAACAAGTTAAAACATGAAGCAAGAAATCAAGATTATTACACTTACCCACTTAAATATGTAAAGGCAACACTTTTGGACTTAAAATATTTTGAAAAATGAAGCAACAACTAGCAACTTTATAGTAGTACTTATTAAAAGCTTAGGCTGAAAAGCTTGCAGACAATGTTAAGAGTAAGCTTTAAATTTTGGGTAATGGCTTTCTTTGGATGTTGTTCTTTATCTATCCTAGCATTATTACCATTCTTGGTTGTTATGAATTGCAGGCCACTCTGGTGGTCAAGCCACGGTTGTGGGATCTGTTGTAGTGACCAACCTCACAAAGGGGATAAGAAAAGGAGCTTGGGAAAGGTCAAAGGTATATTTTTTCTCCAAGTGAAGTAATTCCTATGTGCTGGAGACTATTTAAGTACAAAAACACATTTATACTCTGACTTTTAATTTTATATAGAAAGTCTGCTACATGCTGTAGTTTTTAATTTGTTAAGAACTTAGTGTTTCAGTCAATTAATGTTAAATTAAATGTTCAAACGTTTTGTTATTTAGATATATGTGGTGGAGATAAGGATATTGAATAGGGTTATTAAGATACAGACCAATTAGAAGGTGTGATTTTGATACGCATTCTAACCAAGTCAGTGAAGTCCTCAGCAAACTGAGACACATATCTATATCACTGTCCAATTCTAAACATATAGTGCAGTACTAATCCAAAATTGCTACAAGAATGAACCTTAGAGCTACTTCTTAGCAATGTACAATGCCCGAAAACGCAGGAACCCTAAACAAGACAATCAAGTTTGACACATAAGTACCAAGTCCCAACCACAACTACAACCTCAACCATTGACTCTCAGTCGGTCACAGAGAAGTTGGATACCAATAATACTGAAATAGGCACATCAATAGGAAGAAAAAAGGATATTACCATATCCACCCGTGCAGATTTGACTTAAACCAAAAAATAGCTAACTTGAGAGCTCACCCGTACAGATTTGCTGCCAAAATTACTGCAGAAAACCGATCAGAAACAACCTAGATTTCAACTTTAATTGCTGCAATTCTGTTGTTAAGTTGGAGCTCCGCAAGAGACAGGACAGTATTAAGTTTTTAAACAGGAAGAAACAAGACAGTATCAGCAAGAAATAGGACATTTTGACATTATGCAATTCTCCTATGGCAATCTTAATTCCATGAATTTAAAGAAAAAGCCGTCCTTTCTTATTAATATCCAGTATATTTTATTTTGTAATACCAACTTGAGAATTTTTACTAATTAAATTCCACATGGACATAGGTTCTACCCACCCTATATATAAATGTAGATGTCTTACCAAACTAACCCAAGCAGGCTTAAATACATCTCTAGCTCTCTGCTTCTTTCAAAAATTGGAAAAAAAATATCAAGAGAAAATTACAAAGAAACAGAAAATGGGTTGTTGGTCTGCTGAAAATGCCACTAAAGCTTTTCTCAAAACCATGAACATGGTAAGTACAATTATGAACTTATCATATCTGCAATCTGATATACAATTCAAATAATTTTTTCTCCTCAAGTTGTTACTAATGTTATGTTGATCTGATTCAGGGAAAGAGAGCTACAGAACCAAACGGAGCAGAGTTCATCTCCGCGCTCGCAGCAGGAAATAATGTACAACTTATGGTAGTTTCATGTGCAAATGTTGCAGACTCCACTACCCTTGCACTGGTGGCAGCAACTCAATAAACAAGAGGATGCGTCGTAGGAGAAGGGCTGCTGCTGACCAGAATTGGTGCAAAGGCGAAAAAGGTTACGGCTCAGGTAATAGAAAAAAGAGGACATTGGATTGTTAAGGTAGATAAATGCATAGGAGAAGAACATGTATACAGAGTAAAATCTCCTCGAAGGAGAGTGGTTGAAGCCTAAATCTTGATACATTATACTTACTACCGGATACAACTAGTCTTTTAGAGAATTTTAGTAAATTGGAATTGTAAATACTTATTTAAAGTAGAACACTTCAGCATTCATGGAAAACTACCAAAATTTAAATATACGGGAGGAGAAATTTTGATAAATATAAAATGTATTTTCCAGTATTCTAATCTGATAACTTTATGGATACAAAAATTGTTCTCATAGACATTTACTTTTGAGTTCCTAATATTAATTTAATATTTCAATTCTTTAGTTCTAGAAGTAGAATTCTCCCTAATAGATTGGAAAGAAACTACATTATGAACCCGCACGTTCTATAATTTGAAGGAAGCAAGAGTTAAGGCATCATGACATTTGCATTTAATTTTGTTTTACTTTGAAAGATCATATTCTTTAAAAAAATTCAAAACACTAGGACTGATCATTCTGATACTTCTTTAAGCTAACATCCTCTGTTTCTTTTGGCTAAGTAGGATTGAGAGCTAAAATAGAATGAAAAAGGTGGCATCTTTCTTTGCAAGTATACAACAACAAAGAGCCGTCAAGGCAACCACAGAATTACGCAACGATAAAGGATCGGAGGCGAAGTTAAAAAATGACTAAACTAACCAGACTTAGCCATCTTACTAACTTTCCTCTAAAAAAAAATAGAAGAGAGAGCAGTGGTAGAAAAACAACAGAAGGGGTGTAACATTTGGAGTATGTACTGACCTTGATTGTTAGTCCCAGTAGATTGTTGTGCAAAGGAAGCTTCTCCAGGTGAACGAGCATTGAAATTAAGCTCTTATCCATATAACATATTCAAATCACCAAAATTGATATTCAAGGTAAGAAAAGTTAACTCTTATCCATATTAGGCTCAAATTAAGTATAATGCGAAAATCTAAATAGCCACCTGATTACATGGATTCTTTATTTACTTTGATGTACTAGATAGCAATTAGATGTGCTTATATCAGATACTCATCTATAAGTGAGTTCATGTAATATAAATAACCACAATTCGCCTACAAAATTTAGCCCAAAAATAGCTCCGGATGGAATCTAAAACTAATCAAGAAGCTTATGATTTTCAAATAGTGTTAGTACTTTCCACATTGAGAAGAAAACATATGATCAGTTTAACCTACGTAGAGATATGTATCACTTTGTGTATACAATTGTAATGGTGACTTCGACAATAAGAAATCATATCAGCTATGAGCTCAGAGTGTTATGAAAGAAAAGAAAGTTGCAGCAACATATATCTGCTCCTTAGCAAATTCCAAGTCAATATTATATCAAAAATAGATTTCACGATTGAAAGCCCTTACCATTTTCCAGTTAACACGACTTATTCGGATAACATTGTAACATATCAATTGAAGGTAAGTTACAACGACAAACACATAACCTGGAGTTTCTGGCTTATGGTTGCTAACAATGAGAAGCTATATCCTTTAGTTTCTGGCTTATGGTTGCTAACAATGAGAAAAATCATTAGCGTAGCAAAATAAGGGATATGGATATCTACTTGTAACAAGCAAGCATATTCAGGTTTTTGCTCACCTTTTGAATTCAGTATATAATGAAAAGATATTAAACTGTCTAAGTAAGGTCACATATATGCTACGAAATCATATGTATCAAGAACAAAAAGGAAGAAATTATAGTACAACAAAATCCTAATAGAACTCTAACTTTGATTAAAAGCTTAAGTAGAAAAAACTCACAGCTTTAAAACTGTTAAGTTGGACAAGAAAAAAAAATTTAACAAAGACAACTAAATCAAATAGTGATATATCTAACAAAATATAGAATCAAAACCTATCAATTGTACCTACGTAAAGCATAATTTCAAGCACAATAAGAAGACATGCACCACTGTGTTTAATCTCCATTCAATCATACTATGCCGCTCAAATACTCCCAAAATAAAAATCAGTTGAATCAGATAATAACGAACATTAATACTAAAATTCATTCAAAAACACAACTATCGAATGCGGTTATCTAAAATTTAAATTAAAAAGAGATTAAAAAACTTACTGCGATTTATCCCACGGCTATTAGTTGCAATTTCTTCCTTACTAATGGAATCTGCACATTATGGCTCAACTATTGAGAAATTGCAAAAGGAGGTGGTCGAGCTTAGTCGAGAAAAAACCCTAAAATTTTGGGGCTATTTGAAAATGTGGAGCTTGGAATAATAGAAGAAGGTGGTTGTTTCAGGTGGAGGAGATAAAGTTTATGGGTGAAGAAAAAAGAAAATTAAATCTTGGAACTAGTCAAAGAGCTGGAACGATTTTGTTGACGGCGGGATGGTAGTTGTTGTTGACGGCCGTAGAAGGAGGTGGTTGTTGACGGCCATAACTGTTACATAGTCAAAGGTTCTACTGCGAACGTTGACGGCGGGATGGTGGCAGAGTCGGCGGTTGATGTTGCCTTTCGATGGTTGTTACAGAGTCGTCGTTCTGGGTGAAGTCCCTTTTGAGAGGGATGGCTTTTCGATAGCCTTTAGTTGTTTTTAATTTTATTAGGTATAGAAATTAATTAAGACAAAAAGAAATTTATGTAAAAATGGGGGTTCTAGTGCGAGTTTTACGAAAATTCAAGGGGGCCAAAATTTTAGGAGGGAAATAACAACCGTTCCCATTGCATTTTTTCAAGATCCGTGGCAACATATTTATTTATTGGCACGGTTAGCATAAGCGTTGCAAAAAATAAACCCCTATGAGAACGGTTGCTAATTAATGCAACGGTTTTATAGCCAAAGTGTGCTAGTATCACCCATGTAATATTACAATGGTTAGAACCGTTCCAATAACTGATCTGTAGGAACGGTTTTCGAACCATCACAAAAACATCCGTTCCAATAGGCCCATTTTCTGGTAGTACTATTTGTGTTAATTGATTCACTTTCCTTTTAAAAATAGCTGAATAGACCATGATTTATGCTATTTATGTTACTGTATACACAAATACATATCGTGAATACAGTCGAATACAATAATTGACTAGATGTATTCCCTTGTTTCATGCCTAGTTTTGCTACTGTATTCATGAATACAGTAGCTTAAATACATCGAATACACTCTAGCAAAACTGAAAACATAGCTATAGGAAGTAATATAGTAAATGGTAGCTATAACTAGCTAATAACCACTAAACAATAGTGGTTTCTAAAAACTTATCTAGTTTTAAGCATGCTGTTTAAAATATATCCATAGTTTATATAATATATTTAAAGATTAGCCAATTTCGCTCAAACTTCAGACACGGCGTCCTAGAGCTTAAACCACAAAGTTCAAACTTCTCGACAATGTGTCCTAAAGTTCGAAAATTGTGTCCAGAAATTCGAATCTTATGTCCTGAAATTTAAATTAGTAGTTCAGAAATTCAGGACACTTAGTCCTGAATTTCATATTAGCAGTGTCTTGAATTTGAAATTCAGGATATTTTAGTACTGGAGTTTGGATGAATTGTCTAATCTTTAAATACATTACAAATTGTAGATATATATTTAAATATCGGACTAAAAAGTGGCTATTTTTGCGTATGCAATAGCTCGCAAACCACACTGGAGATATAAATCGCACTAGACAATCCCGATGAGGCGAACTCTGATTGTGGAGACTGCTGGTGAGGGGAATCGATCTCAAATCTCCCATATAGGAAACCACTCACCCAACCCTGACGGGCAACTTTTGTATCTTTGATACGCAAGAAATAAGTAAATTTTTGTGTCTTTTGATACACAAGGAACAAGTTCCTTATTTGTCTGCACCTCAGATACACAAGGAATAAGAAAACATTTGTATTTTGATACGAAATAAGCAACGAAAGATCATCCATTTTTTAATAAAAAGATTATTCAGTTGTAATATCATGAAACTATTCCTGATTAACAGGAAGTAGTAAATCTGTACAAGTTCTCTCCAAAACGAAAGAGGCCAATAAAACTAAAAAACAGAAAAGTGAAGATCAATTATAACTTTTTTTCTCTGTTTCTCCTTTCAGCTTCCTTAACATTTTAATTCATTATCTCTTAGATTTAGCCATGCTCCAGGCATCAAGAGTCTCAATTGTAATTGTTTCAGTGCCATTGTTGAAAGCAAATAAATGTGCTTTGTCATGGATGGCTAATGTCGGATATACCCTTGATGTTATGCATGTTTTCCCACCAGCACCAAAACTTTCTACTACCGAGTGATCAATCTGCAAAAGAGAAAAAAATGTCAACAAATTATCCACGCCACAAAAAAGACAAATAAAAGAAAGTGAGAATCTAAGTTTAGGGCCCGTTTGGCCATAAAAATTATTTGCTTTTTTCTGGGATTGTTTTTTTTTCTTCTAAAATCAGTGTTTGACCATGAAATTCCAAATTCAATTTGAAGTTGAATTCCGGAAAGCTATTTTTCACAATCTTCACTCCAAATTACTCACAAAAATTCAAAAACAACTTCAAGTTGTATTCATATCCAAACACAATTCCAATTTTCAAATACTATTTTCAACTTGAAAGAAATTTCACTTTTTCTGGAATTTCACAATTCTTATGTAGCTTTTTGTCTGTTAAATCTACATCAACGTATCCAGCAAAGGAAGGTTTGTACATTTTCTTACTATCCTTAAGAGTTGACCTGTCACCAAAAAGGGGGAAAAAACAAATAGAACAACAAGGTTAACAAATAGCAAAAGCTTAAAAACAATAACATTTTAATAACAATTTATGTATGAGACATAAGGTGAGCTTTTTTTTTT